AATATTGTGAAACCTTCATAACTTTTTTGTTTATGAAAATAATTGATTTCCGTAAAAACTTTCTGGAAGCACTTTTTTAACCAGAACTCAGTGACATTCTCAGTTTTTTTCTATTTGGCGCCGATTTTGAGATATTGACCAAAGTCTGATTTTTTACAATGGGACACCCTCTATCATAATAGCTCATTGAAAAGCTATGATTTTTCTGATTTCAATGGGTTTATCTCTTACCGTTTTCGAGAAAAAAAAATTATTTCGGTTTTACTCATAAGAAGCAATGTGATAGAAAAGGACTTTATGTCCGATTGACCAATAAAGTTCTATTTATAGAACAGTTTTGCGTCAATAAAGTAGCACTTTATTGTACTAGTAAAATAAAGTAATAAAGTGCTACTTTATTTTACTAGTAAAGTTTGTTTTTTATTTAAAGATAATTCCCCAAGTCAAAAATTTAGTAACTATGTTGGCAACACAAGCCTTTTCTACATAAAAAATTTGAAAGCATTGACAATTTTACATTGTATTGCCAACATAATGTCATTTTGACTTTTATCTTAAAAAAAAAAAACACACTTTAAAATAAAGTGCTACTTTATTGCCTACCTGGACTACCTGACAAGGTAAAACAGGTCCTGACAACCTGCCAAGGTGAAACAGGTATACCTACGCGAATTTTACTTTTTTCATTAAATTTTTAACAAAAATCAGTCGCAATCGTACATAAAATCATGTATATAACGCTTACATAAACAGGCTTTATTGACTCATTATTTAATAGCCTCGCTCGCAAGCTCGCTCGGCCATAAAATTATTCGTACAATAAAGCCTTACTTTATGTACTTGTTATATAAATAGCTATTATATCTGTAAGGAAAATGAAAAAGGTCTTTTTCTAACACATTGTTTCTTATGACAAAAACCAAAATAATTTTTTTTCTCGAAAACGATTAGAGATAAACCTATCGAACCTCATATCATTAAAATCAGAAAAATAATAGCTTTTCAATTAATATATAGGGTATCCCATTAAAAAAAACCGGACATTGGTCAATATTTCGAAGTTGGGGCCAACTAGAAAAAATTGAGAACGTCACTGAATTCTGCTGAAAAAGTTCTTCTAGAAAGTTTTTACGGAAATCAATTATTTTCATGAACAAAAAAGTTATGGAGGTTTCACATTATTGCTCAAAATCGAGAATCGCCCTCTAGCGGCTAAACGATTGAAGATATCAAAATGCGGTTTGCACCAATCAAAATTTCATGAAATTTGAGCCTCAGAGTGGGGGGTTGATTTTTTTGTATCTCGCTCAGAACTTGACGTTTCCTATTAAAAGTGTCCAAATTGGCCCAGCCTGTACAAGGTCCCAACTATTTCATAGGGACAGTATTGCTATCTCAGGAATGATTAAAGTTACGAGGGCGTTTAAATTAGAAAAAAGTTGCCACTTTTGAAGAATAATAAAAATATATTTTTGCTGTTGCCAAATTCCTATTAGTTTCGTAAATACAGGGTGATTTATGAAAATTTGCTGAAACAATTTTATCAAATATTTTAAAATCTATTGATTTTAGGGACATAGTTCAAATTCAAAAGTATTATATTTTCAACATTCTTCAAAAATTGCAACTTTTTTCTAATTTAAACGCCCTCGTAACTTAACCCGTTCCCGAGATAGCAATCAATGCTGTCCCTATGAAATATTTGGGACCCTGTATAATTACCTATTAAAATTATTATTTTTCTTCTAAGTGGATTATGGGAAATAAAACAGGAGTATAATTTTTATGTGTCTGTACCTATTCAATACCAGTTTCTCTAATACGGCCGGTGCTACCTAACTCCGTAATTCCTAATTTTATATTCTTATTTCGTAAAATATTAGCTATCGATTTGGTCCTGTTACCCAGTTACTTAATTTTTTTCCGGCCACCAAATATATAAGACTAGATTGATCTTTCGTATTCATGGGTTTTTTATTTGAATATACATACACATAACACATAATCACAACAAGACTATGAATGAAGCCCTTAGAGCAGGTAAAGGTAAAGGAGTACTAACATATGGAGTTGGAAAATGAAGCGGGTATTTTGGCACCAAAAAAATTGTGGTATAGAAACTGGATAAACCGATAACGCCATCGTTTAATAACACGCTGTTAACTTGTTATAAATTAAGCTCTAAGAAATAAAAATTAGAAATTAAGAATTAAAGGAGTTGGGTAAATAATACCGGCCTATCTTTTTACATTTTCACAGACAAAAACATCCTTAATATAGCGATTTTTCGAGAAAATTCGAATTTTTAGTTATATCATCGTGATTGCGCCCCCTAGCGGCCATCTTAGAAACTTGAAAATATTTTCCATCAATTTCTCTTGGCCGATTTAGTGATGAAGAAAAAAATCCCGATGCCGTAAGGTCTATGGTTTCCATAATAACGTACCTCGTCGACCTCAGTGGGACACCCTGTAGAAGTTTTTTGTCATTTACCACTGCTAAGTCAAGGAGTGAGTAGTTATCGCCTCTAAATCTGGTTGGGAAGGTTATCAATTGGAAAGCATTCATCGTTTGATAGATATTAAGCAAATCACTGAAAACTTATTTGAAATGCGTTAGCGTTAAACTTTTCCAATTATTATCGGGGTAGTTGAAATCACCAAAAATAAAGGTGGGCACTGGTAGCGCCATTGTAGTTTCCATGATTCTTAGAAGGGCTAGGTTTTCTTCTTGCGATAGATAGTTGGGTCTATAAATACACGCAATTAGCAGATTTTGTTTGGCTATTCTGATTCGCAACCATAAGGAGCTTGTCAACGTCAAACCAGGTCTCTGTTATTAATATGAACGTTGGGTTTGATGTGATGTTGCAATGGATATTCGAAGTTCATCGATTTTTGTTATTAGAATTTAGATTGGTATAGAAGAATGAAGCATCTTTTTTTTTTTAGTTTTTTGAGGCGTTGTTTTGGATTTGAGCTTTTGCTTGATCTCTTCCGATTTTCGGACAGCCATTCAAGTATACAATCGTCAAGTTGTTCTCACCTCACCTTCCAATTGTTGCAAAAGCGATCTGCGGAATTTTCTTTGTAGTTCTGTGAGGTCGTATTTAACGTTCACGCCTTCGGCGCTCGCGACTTTGTTCTTATTCCTCAGAACATTTTGTTGGTAGGATTTTGTTGTAGTCTTTTGATGGTAGGATTGATAGGACGGACAGAGTTATCTTTGGGTTTTCCTAGCCTGAAGTGTTGTATACTATCTCTGGTTATGTGTTTCAAGATTTGCTTAATGATGTTTTCAATTGAGACTAAATTTTGTGCTTTGCATTGAAGTCCAGTGGGAGCTGCTGACTCTTTAACACCAAATATTAGAAAATTAAACTTGCGTTTTTCTCTCTCTTCCTTTTCAGTAATCGTTGGCTCGACCCCCCCTCCATATTGGCTCATATGAATAAAACAGAAGCAAATGCTTCTGATCAAGTTTTTTGAGTGAAACATATTAAGCTTTATTGCAGCAGAAAGAAACAGATGTAGATTAAAAGCATTTGCTGCTCTTTATTCATATGACTGAATGTTGTGCTTCACTCACCTTCAAAGATATGCAGTTTTTTCATTTACCTTTGATAATATTTTAGTGTAGGTCTTCTTATGGGTATCATTGATGTTGTTAGCAATCATTTCCTTGAATGTCGCTTGCTAGGAAATTTGCAAACTTTTTGATTTCCTTCGATGTTTCTTGCCTAATTATGGTAACGGTTTCCTTCAATGATCTTGACAAATCTTCCACATCCCGGGTTAGTTTTTCCCTTGATTCTTTGTTGTCACTTTTGATTTTTTTTGACCTGTCCTTTAAGGTCCTTAAGACTCTCCATGCAGTCAGGGCACCAAAAGATCATTACTCTTGTTTGCATGACAAGGCAGCAAGCTTCAGAAGCAGACAGTTTAGCACAAGCTCTGCAGATATGCTTTTGGTAGCAATCGCATGGATAACCGAACAGCTCGTTTTTATCTTCTTTTGGTTTACAAGGTCGATGGTATTGAGAGCAGCAAAAACTTGCCGCCTGACCTGACCTAAGAGATTGGGACATATTTCATACAATATACAAGTTTCTTCAATTTGGATGGCGCATCCGCCAGCTTGTCCTGGTTGTGTTTCGCTGGACGCTGCTGGTGTAGACCCAGAGCAAGTTCAACACAAAAGGAACCTTGCCCCGGCCGAACTGTAGAAGGCTTGATTCCTATCAGTGTTTACAATAGGCAACAAAAAAAAAAGGATAGGAATGTTTTTGTTTATATTAAGTTTCCTTTGTGTCTCATGTTATAGGCCTTTTGTTGAAAATTAGATAATATTTGAGGTAAATGAAATGCATATCTTATGTGACCACCACAGTTACACCAACCCTCACAAAATCAAAATGTTTGAACAGTTTAACACTACAAACTCTAGGTTTTCTATGTTATATTTAGGATGACGTCATCGAACAATGACAGACAATGTTGTCAATGCCTATTTTTTTTTCTTATAATTTACCAGAATGTCAATAATTCTGACGACAGCTAAAAAATAACGAAATAAAAATGTTTACACAAGTCATGCAACGTCGCGCGCCGTTGCCAACCAAAAACATCTGAAATTTCCCTACTTAAATGTGTTAAAAAGTACTTTTAGTTTTGTTAGGTTGGCAACAGAAGTTCTAAAAACATAAAGATCAGATTGAAATTAAAAAAATTTAAATCTGAGTCATTCAGGCCTATGATGTATCCCCTCCTGTTATTTTAGCAGCCATGTTATAGCTCAACATCTATACTTCTCTCTATTTTGGCGTATAGAATAAACAATGACAGGCAGCTTAACGTTGCTGTTAAAATAACAGAAAATAATACAATTATAGGCCTGAATGTCACTTTAAAAATAACAAATTTCCAACAAAATAAGACGATATTGAGAGAAATTTTAGTTTTTTCCTTGTTCCGTTTTAATTTTTTTTTTTTTTTTTGCAGCATTGTTTAGATCTTTGGTATGCTCCCAATGCACACCAAAACGATTCCGAGTATGTACATAATCAAACAGGATTGTTCCCAGCTCCGGTAGCTCGTGGCGCTAAATTAGGTTCAGTCACCAAAATCAATAGCAAATTTAGGTTCTTAGGTAAATTTATGGCAAAGGCTGTGATGGATTCTAGAATGGTAATTATATATATTTTTTCTTTAATTAATTGCCTTTGGCACATAAGATTATAATATTAATGTTGCAATGATTAATATTCTTGATGGTGTGCCTAAAATAAAACTAGGATCACGCCTCAGTGATGGTGAATTCATCCCTACCACTGACAGTAAAATCCTCTAACAATTATTGTTACTGTGATTGTAATTGATAATTCACACCATCATTTTTCAGTTGGATTTGCCATTCTCCTTGACATTCTACCGTTGGCTGTTGGGTCACGAACAGTGTTTAACATTGGCCGATCTAAAATATGTTAGTCCTGATATTTACGTTACCATTAGAAAAATGCAGGCAATTGTAAGACAGAGAGACGAAATTTTGCACAACGGAGATTTGAGTGAAGAAGAAAAAATGGAACAGGTAAATATCTATAATTTATTATTTTCCAGCTATTATTAATTTCTTGTTGTGTTTAAGGTTGAAAAACTGGAATACGATGGTTGTTCCATTGACGATTTAGGTTTAGACTTTGTGATACCCGGCTACAATGTTGAGCTGATGAAAAACGGAAAAAACACCCATCTCTCTATACACAATTTGCATGTGTACGTGAAAGTGATAACGCATTGGATGCTGTACGAAGGCATCGCCCGTCAAATGGAGGCTCTTCGAGAAGGTTTCGATTCCGTTTTTCCTTCGAAAAATTTGCGCGTCTTCCAACCTGAAGAACTCGAACAGGTCTTTTGCGGCAGCCCCAAGGTAATTTCGACCTTTCGAATGTCCATATTTTTCTCTAATATTTTGTTTTTTTTGTAGGATCACGTGGCCGGTTGGGACGTAAAAACTTTAATGGATTGTTGCAGGCCCGATCACGGATATACTGCAGATTCACGGGCAATTCGGTTCCTATTTGAAGTGCTCAGTTCGTATGATAGCGAGGAACAGAGGATGTTTGTGCAGTTTTTAACTGGAAGCCCTCGGTTACCTGTTGGAGGTGAGTTCAAATTATAATAATTATTACGAAATGGGGTACTTGAATCATTTTTCTATCGCTGATTTCGTTAGTCAATAAAAAATAGGCCAACACGTGTTTTTTCTTTTTCTTCTTAGTCAAAAATTGACGGAGATACAACGCTATGAAATATGCCTATGACGTCACTTATCATATAAACATAAAAACATTCGGTATTCTATTTTCAAAAAAAAAACATAAAACTTGTGATTACTCTTTTTTATGCTACCCTGTATACTTGAAAATAAATTCGGGTTATAGCATAGGTGAAATGCTAAAACTTTTATACAGAACATTTTTCCATAAGTTCAACAGTTTGGCTACTATTGATCGAGGCACACTTGTTGGACTATTCTGTATAGGTATACACGGGGTGTTCCACGACGTTTTTCCCAGGTAATAGAATGCGTCATCCAATCCAATATAATTGCAATTTTGAGAATCTGGGTAACTTTTTATGCTGCTTCTACCATTGTCATCCAATTTCACCACTTTTGCTTCAATTTCGGTCAAGTGACGTCAACTTTCGAATCTTAAATGTAACTCATGGTATATTATGGCATTTTTCGTTAGAAAATTAAATTACAAAATCGGCAATGCCATATTTGTTAAGACTTCGCTAAAGAAAATGATAAAAAATTATACAGTGGAACATATGATGATGCGTTCCGAAGTTATCATTTGGGAAAAACCTCGTGGGACACTCTGTATATCTAAGTCAATATAAATAAAACTTACATTTAGAAAATAATTACACTGAATATTATAAATCCTAAAAACAAAAACAAAGAAATGCTAAAATTGAAGGTAGAGCCCTTTAAATCGATTCAGAATCATTGATAAATAAAAAATTAAGGGTGATCTAACGGCCCGCATTCAAAGCGTCGGAAAGAGTTTCGTAGCAGTCTAATTACTACTTAACCATAAGTTGTATTGAAATAGTTCTTGTTGTAGCCTAATCTACTAATGTAAAGGCATGTTTTTATAGAATTTCTTTTTTTTTAATAATTCAAATTAGCTCAGAAACTGAGCATAAAAATCATCGAAAAACTGTTTTTTTGTGTGAATATTTTGACTATTTTCGGAAGCATTTTCAAAAAAATAATCCTATAGAGACATAGATCTACTTTTCCTCTTTAAAAGGGAACAAAAAAAATATTAAAAAGTTTATCAAAAGCTGAGTAATTAGACTGCTTTGTAAGCACTATTTACCGAAATTTGTAACCGTGGCGTGGCACCACCATAAATTGAACACGGATGGCGACAAAAGTAAAATTGAACGTATTAAGTGTATTTCGGGGGACCCTCTGAGTATAAATTTCACTATTTTTTATTCATTATTGCATTTATTTTAGTAAATTGACTTTATCGATTTCAGGTAACAATGTCTTTATCAGTTATCTCTTCAATCAGGGGGTTTTACGTATTTTTTAAACCACATCATAATAATTATACCAGGGGATAAAAAGGTTTTAAATTCATTATACTTGTACCAACATGCAATTATTTTCTTTACATCTTATGTAAATTGAAAGGGGTATCCCGTCAATATGTATTTGAATGGATATGAATACTATTACCTATATATAAACCATTGTAAAAATATACCTACATTTGTATTGAATTTTTTTGATAGCAGCCAATTAAATTTGGTTATTTTGTGTCATGTGACTTAAGTCATCCAATCACGTGAACATTATACTGAAAGAAAAGAAATTCCATAAACTGTTTTCACTTTATGACGTTGCTATGAATACATTTTCAGAAATTTTCTATCCGAAAAACCCTCGAACATTGATAACTGCTCAGAAATTTTATAATAACTTTCTCAAGCTTGTTGCTCATAGGAAACAGACCTCCGCCATCGGCGTCGATCTCTTTCCAAACAAGCTTTCGAAATCTGTTATAAGTTTCTTCCTAAGAATTATCAATGTTTTTGAGTTATTACCACAGCTCATTACCATTGAAAACCAAACATGGTAAAAGTAAGTTTATTTGTCACTCATTTGTAAAATGTCATTTATCAAGCCAAAACATAAACAACGAAAATTGATTTTTACTCTACTGACTTGTAAAATTGACAGCTAAACTGTAAAAAAAAAATTAGAAGCTATTGTCTGCCCAGCGGTTCTGAGTCTACGGAAGGAATTCGGACGTAAATGTGCGATGTTGCCACGTTTAATTATAAAAAAGCAAAAATACTAGGTATGAAGTATAGTTCATGTGAAAATCCATTTTTTAATTACAAAATATGGATAACAATAATGAAACGTTAAAGATTCTAACGTGGTTGTTAGATCTATTATTATTTTAATAACTGATTTCTTCAATTTTGTCTAATATAAAAAATGAACATTTTCCAAAGATACTATCAGCTTTTGTCAATTTGGCAAGCATCCAGCCTGGATGAACCTGATTCGTAGAGTTTTTGGCAGAATCGCCGTTGCCACGGGGAACCATGCGGTTGTCAGTGGACTAACGTCACCTTACGTCTCGCTATTGGCCAGGGCTCCTGTCATTGTATCCTCCCAATTTGGAATATCGATTTATATTGAAATATCCAGTGGCGGGGATTTGGTCATTGTCAATTTTCGTGTACGAGTTGCAATACAATATTATATTTCCAAAAAGTTCCGCACGCAGCTGGGTATTTTATGAATGAAATCAGCCATTATTTTTTACAACTGCATTCCCCTTACCGTTGCCCCGTAGATATAGAGTCGCTGGGCAAACATTAGTAGAATTTTATTTATTTTCAAAAAATCAGTTTTATCGCAAGAATAATTACTTGTAGGTACCTTCTGGAAGAGTAACAAATAATAGTAATTTATGGTACTAGTGTGTTATGTTGAAAATAAGTTACGCGAGAAAAATTCGAGTGACTTAAAACACATAACACATGAGTAGCATACAATGTTTTATCCAACAACTGAGAAATCATAACACGCGAGCAGCATACAAGAACTGAAAAAACCGAGGAAAAACTAACAGGTAGAGTAAGAATCAAACGAGAAGAAGCCATTGACAGCATCGCTGACAAAGAAGGCAGATTTCCTTTACTCTGGGTCCCTCCCATTTAAAGTGAGTCAAACGATAACGCGTGTGGCTTCTTCTCGTTTGATTTTTACTCTATGTTATGTGAACGAGTCCTCTTCAAAGCAGGGTTTATAATTTTTATTTCCTGACGTTTTGCGTTGACGTTATAACTGAGTGAGTTATAAACCATAACCCACTAGTGAGTTATGGATTGTTTTGTTTTTGTTCTGCAATGTAAATGATAAAATATTAAGCGTCAAAGGACCCCGCAATATTTAAATGGAAATCGGTTACCCGTGATATTTGGATGAAATTTAAATATGTTATTGAGGATGCCGTAAGCAACATTTTTTACCCTGGACACAACCCTGTATATATGACAGGTGAGGCGTGGTTAACTGTCAAATATTGGAATCTTATATCCAAAAGCAGAGTGACTATAGCAGATTTTGATGAACGAAGTATCGATTTCTACTAAGTCGACCAAGTTAAGTCGAAAAATGTCGACCATTTTGACACCTGTCAAAACCCTGCCAAAGGGCAGCGCTCATCTTTTTCAGTTTTCAATATTTTATGATGTCATTGGACATGTTTAACTTGTATTGGAAAAAAATTGACAGAACTCTCAAAACATGTCATTTGTTTTAGTAGAAAAAAATACTCTCATCTGGTTTTTTGTTTCAAGGTAGTTTATTGGTGATAAAACATTGATCAAAGTTCATGCATATCACATTTTGACAACTCTGCAGAATCTGTTAATAGACAAATGTTAATACAACAAAAGTTCGTTGTTTATGTGTTGTTTATACTATATGTTGTCGATATTTATCTGAGGTATCCCTCAAATCAACTTTTGACTGTCATTTTGGATGCAGCCAATGGAAACCAAGAAAATTTTGACTTGTAATAGATATTTATGTCATAAGGATCATAATGACAATCATTATGGTACTAGCCGTGAATATTATTAGGCGAAGCGTTAACCGAGTCTGATAACACGGCGTGTGCCATAATGATTGTTTATAATCCGAGTTTCATACAATATTTTATATTCCGACCTGTCAAAATGACATTATTGTGGATTTCATTTATAAGTGTCAAAATGTTTGAGTACTTTAGGGCCGAATTTATAGTCGGTCCTTGAGGTTTCCTAAGACCTTAAGGAAGCCTTGAACGTTAAGAATTGACATGAATGTAACTTGTCATTTGTAGCAAGTGTCCATTCTAAACTCACAACCTTCAGGGAAGAGTCAAGGAACGACTATAAATTCGACCTTTAATGATTTCATTAAACTATTCGAAAAAAATCGCCGGTACCTATATAAAATCCTTTATACTAAAACTACATACTTTAAAATAAAAATTGACATCTCTGTCAAAATCTGAAACAGCGTTTAATGTTTTTTCATGCGTTATCAAAAATAGGCCTAACTTAAATTGGGAAAGAACTATATAGAATTGATTCTTTTTTGAATTAAAGCTATTGACAGATTCTGACAGCTGTCAAAATGTGACGTGCATGAACTTTGTTCAATGTTTTATCACCAATAAACTACTTTAAAACGAGAAAGAACCAGATTAGAGTATTTTTTTCTACTAAAACAAATGATAGGTATTGACAGTTCTGTCATTTTTCTTTTTCAATTTTTGAATTCAGAATTTACATAAAAATTAAAAATGTCAAATGACATCATAAAATATTGAAAACTGGAAAATATGAGTGCTGCCGTTTGGCAGAGAGTTGACAGGTGTCAAAATAGTTGACATTTTTCGAATTAGCTTGGTCGACTTAATAGAAATAGATTTATTATTCATCAAAATCTGCCATAGTTATTCTGCTTTTGGATATAAGATTGTAATATTTGACAGCTAACACCGCCTCACCTGTCATATATACAAGGTTGTGCCCATGGTAAAAAATGTTGCTTACGGCATCCTCAATTCCA